AAAAATGTGTTTATCTGTGATTTTTTTAAAATAAAAATTGCAAAACTATTATTGTCGTGTATGTTATGTATCAGACTTTCTGCCAATCCGTTCCTTGTAGGATTAATGTAAAAACTACACAACACTACTAACTACTAACTAATCTGAAAACAGTCATAACATTATAATAATAACAATAATAATGTGGGACAAACAATGGGAATATATCATGTACACAAGATGCAAAAAAGAAATGATTAATTGTAAAATGAATACAGTAAAAAAAATAGAATGTACTATTAGACTGTTGTGTAATGAAATCAAGAAAGGAAGATTTCAACAGATTTGTTAAACAAGCAAACGTTTACATAATAGAGAAAACTGTCACCTGACAAATTATGGTGAGTTTGGATGAGGCCAATATTAAAAAAAAGAAAAAGTTAAATGAAACGAATAACATAAATTACTGAGTAAACAATAAAAACTTCCATTTTAATTAGCCAAGAGGTTACGTCATGCTTAACGCAAGGGGAGGGGCGGGTGACGCCATTTTCACGCAGCGTCAGTCACTGAGTGAATCAGTGAATCCAACAGAAGACCACCGAGCTGTCACATGCAGGGCGGCCACCCACACGGACGTTCTGCCGCATGAAGCCGCAGTCCTGCCGGCTTTCGATTCACTGCGTGGTCGCAGACATGACGGAGCTGCTGGAGCTGAGAGTGAAGGCAGCGCTCGGTTCAGCTGTGTGGCTATAAAGCTAAAGTGGACATCAACTAACGACAGCGGATTCGACACCCGCTTGGAAGAAAATTAAGTTTTAAAATTCATATTCTCATAATTTAAAACATTTGGCCCAGACTTCGGCGGACTGAGGAGCGGGATCCCCGTCTCTGATAAAACGTGATTTATCCGGGTCAAGAGGAAAAGGAAGCGGCGCTACTTTCCCGGCTTCAGTGACAGCGGATGTCCTGAGAGAACGGTAGGAATGGCTGCGTCTATTTATTGGAATAGTCGTTTCGGCTAATCAGCCACTTCGTGACGTTTTCTGCCCAAGTCAATCGATATTGTAACAATGTCATTGTGTTCAGTCGTTTGTGTTTAATAAATGGGAGAATTTCGACACTTGGACTGTAAAAAGAACAGCTGCATTCTCCATAGTTTTCCTTGTACTTTGGTCGCTGTTTACGTCAGTTGCAGGAATTAGACGTTGATCAAACAATCTGTCACCGCAGGGCTAACGCTGAGTTAGCTCGACGCCCAGCGTG